CAGACGCCGCGTTGGTGGTTTTGAATGCTTATTAGTCGCCGCGTTGGCTGTCTTGAATGCCTGTCAGACGCCTGGATGGTTGTCTTGAAAGGCTGTCGGACGCCACGTTGGTTGTCTCCAAGGGCTGTCGAACGCCGGAATGGTTGTCTTGAGAATGCCTGTCAGACGCTGGGATGGTTGTCTTGAAGGGTAATAAAACTATCAGACGCCAGACGGAGGTTCTTGAGTCATTGATGGGTTTTAGAAAGAGGTTGTTCTGATGTTTATTTGTTTTCACATTAAGTTCTGTTAGACAGATTAGTTTTCTGTCTTGTTGTGATAATTTAAGTTCACTTCTTAAGAGAATATTTAATATTGTCATTAAGAATTTTCAAAGTACTGAGATCTCTTAAATCTAAATTTCGAAATAACCAAAATTTGTAAATTGATTACTGATGATGATTAATAAAGATTATGTTGAGAGTTCGCCTATCATTGGTCAGGTTGGCCGAGCGAGTGGACGCATTTACTGTGTGAACTTTTTGTTATAGGTACCTCACACGAGGACGTGTGAGATGTCAGGACGGCCGTGTCGGTACCTTGCATCATGACGTCAGTTAATCAATTAGTGTGACCAGTTTATTTGATTATTATTCTTCTAAATAATTTGTAACGGAAACGTCAAGTACTACACTTGGGTAAGGTCGATTCACGTGGCAACACTGGTTGTATGATTACCGATTGACACATGACGTTTGACCATTTAAAAACGTCAGTGGAGGCTTGCGGTAGAGAGGGGACAGTGTCACGGGCATTCAAATTGGAAGCACAAGCGTCAACGGTCGTTGCCACGTGCTATCGAACTTGCCGCGTTTTCCGTCTTGATAATCCGTCTGTATCTGTGTCATCCGTTGTTATTTTGAATCTTAAATTAAATCTAAAGATTAATAAGGTGTTTTACTGTGTCTACATAATTGTATTTACGGACAATTAACGATGGCTGACCCGTCTGGTAACGAGGCGACCCATCAGGTCCCGATAAATATATTGATTCAACAGGCGTGCCCGTGTGTTCTTGTGTCGGCCATTGCTCTAATACCACGCTGATACGGAGTTATCCTTGTATTATATTACCTTGAAGGTAAAAAGGATTTGAGTTTTGAGTTGCATTGCAACAGATAAAAAGAAAGTCAAAAAAGAAAACTTAAAACCAAACAATTATCAGCACAAAATAATTACAATATCATTAAATAAAGTTATAATATAAACATAATTATTACACCAATAATAAAAATAATGTTTCTCTCAAAATAATATACTTGCCAATAAATAGATTGATAATTAGAATACTTTTTTATGGCATAAGCTGGTAAACGAGCAGACGGATCACCTGATGGGAAGCGATCGGCGCCGCCCATGGACACCTGTCACACCAAGGCGTTAAAAGTGCGTTACCGGCCTTTTGGGAGATTGTGGAGGAGGGAAAATTGGGCCTCCGATAATCTAACTCACACGACGAAATACAACGCGAGCGTTGTTTCACGTCGGTCGAGGCAGCCCATTCGTGCCGAAGCACAGCTCTCCTACACTTGACTTTCTAACAAGTCCCTATATGAATGGTTTCTTACTAATGAAAGAAAATCGGCAATTGTCATAAGAAGTTCGTATGATCAGCACTCTATCTGGTCTGCAATTAAAGGATTTCTTCCAGTCAAAACTTACACCCTAATAGACACTAAAACAATAAACACTACCTATAATATTCCCATTCCCAACTATTAAGCGAATAACCATTATAGTTTCATCTTTTTGACGTAGCATTTTACAAAAACGTAGCACGTAGCTCGTAGCGTCGTAGCCTGTAGCACGTAGCGCTACGAAGGTTGTGCAAACGAAGATTATGCATTTATCCCTACTATTAAAGGTATTATGAGGTTACACGAGAATGCATATAAAAATAGTTTTATAGTTGAAACACATACTTATATCTTATGTTATTGTTTGTTTATTTTTGCTACGAGAACATCAGGCGCACACATTGTAACACCCACTTTTGTTTTTATAATAGTGGGTGTTACACCCACTTTCCACCATTTATGTAACATGCCTCATGTAACAGCCCCCATCATACGGGGACGAATTTCAAACTCTAGTTATTTTAATTACTTACAAATTTTTGACGACTGAATCCTGACTGTCTCGTTGGCCGAGTGGTCGCACTGCGACTGCCGGGCAAGGGATCTCGGGTTCGATTCCCGGGTCGGGCAAAGTATTACTGGGTTTTTAAAAATCTCAAAAGTAGCACAGAGTCTGGACATGTGCCCGGTATATGGCAATAGGCTCACCCCCTATTATATGGGACTCATAACATAAACAGTGAAAAGTGGGTGTTACATTGTACAGTGGCATTAAGTGCCGTAATGAACGCCTTTGCCTACCCCTTCGAGGATAAAAAGGCATGATGTTATGTTATGTAATAATACTTTAAATACTACAATTTTATAATATTTCAATATTAGGTATGTTTTGACGTTCCCAAGTACGTTTCTGGACCAATTGAAATTAACGATTTTTGACTTTGACTTTGAAAGTCGTACATGTATTTTCTATTGAATCACGAACCAGGACATCATCACACGACTTGGGATACCAACAAACGGAATTGTAAACTTGGGTTACAAGTTCGACTTCTATCCCATGTGTACCGTAGTTGTCTCTGTAAAGTTAGTCATCTGCAGTAACTTATAGCACGAACCAAAGCAATGTGTACCTGCACTAACCAAACATGTTATATAGTTAAGTTGACCTCAAGTTAACAAGCTTTTCGTGTAATTAGAGATCAATTTACTGCCTCGCTGGCCGAGTGGTCGTAAGTGCAACTGCCGGGCAAGGGGTTTCGGGTTCGATTCCCGGGTCGGGCTATTGGGTTTTTTTTAAAAAATCTCAGTAGTAGCACGGAGTCTGGAATTGTGCCCGGTATTTTGCAATAGGCTCACGCCCTATTACATGGGACTCATAACATAAATAGTGAAAAGTGGGTGTTACATTGTACAGTGGTATAATGTGCACCTCTGCCTACCCCTTCGGGGATAAAAGGCGTGATGTTATGTTATGTTATGTAGAGATCAATTTATACTGGACGTGTATTAAACTCTCAAACACCAAGCGGTCACCGGTGACCGCGACCTATTGTTCTTTAATTGTGTCTATAAAACCGGTACTCGACGAGTTAAGCTGTAGTACTGTTCATAAGAAAACAACCATGAAGGTAATACATATAACATTTTACCGGTACCGCTCCACCTCAGCAATAAACGTTTCTTAATCTTATGACTGCCTCGTTGGCCGAGTGATCGCTAGTGGGACTGCCGGGCAAAGGGTCTCGGGTTCGATTCCCGGGACGGGCAAAGCATAACTGCGTTTTTAATAAAAATTCGCACTAGTAGCGCGGAGTCTGGAATTGTGCCCAGTATATGGCAATAGGCTCACCTCCTTTTACATGGGACTGATAACATAAATAGTGAGAAAGTAGGTGTTACATTGTACAGTGGCATTAAGTGCACTTCTGCCTACCCTTTCGGGGTAACACCTCATCTGACTTAAATATCAACCAAAACTTCACTCAAGAGCTCAGAACTAAACCATCAAAGCTCAACTAGATAAAACATCTGCACAAACATTTTAATCGAGAAGCACGTGTTCGAATGAAAACGCAAAAAAGATACGACTCGAACAATATAATCCGTATTTCTCTGAAACAATCTAGTCTTTGATATTTATAGAAGCATTTTTCTACAAAACAAGAACAGTTTTTAATCCTAGACTAGTAGGATGTTGATTCTTTTTAATTTGCCGGGCACTGCTAGAGGCGGGATGATCTCCGCGTTTAAATAATACAATATTTAATAAGTAGGGGGAAACGGAACGTATATATATATATATATATATAAACGTTTGTCGTTAGTCTTTTCAATTAGTTGTTCAAATAACGAATTTGTTTTACCTTCTACGTTTACAATAACTGTTTCAAATTTAATTACTTGATCTAATAATTGAGTAATTAATGTATTGTTTAATACTTATATTGATGTAGCATTAATGTCAAAATACTCAAACGCTACTCAACTTTAAGTCGCGCTTAAGTATAGTTTTGGCTCTATAAATTGTTTTAAAATGACAGAGATAGCACGATATTTAAGTACAAGTTAAAATTGAGTAGCGTTTCAGTATTCGGACATAAGTTACTAAATCATTGTTCAGATGTTGTTATTGGTTGTTTTATTCATCGGCGTTTGGCGACCATCTCACCTGTACAAAACAAAGGACAAATCAATAAAAAAAAACAAAAGACATATCGGACTGATCTTTATTTCAATAAATTAGAATTCCATAAACAATCTCATTCAATTTTTTATATTATTTTTAATAATAAATTGCCAAACTCATTTCACGGATTTATCTAAACGGAAGAATTAAACCCGCCCAGCCTAAGAAATAAATTTGGCAATGAATACTTATTAATAAACATTAAAATTACTAAATACATTTAGTACTTACATTTAATTCTTACAATAATGTTGACGGTCGATTTACATTATGATTACAATTAATAATTAAATGCAATAATAATTAATTAATTCTTTTAATAATTGTGTGTAGGCGTTTCGGCGATACAACTAGTGTCATCTACTCGTAAATTTTTAAATTAATCTATGGTTCTAAGATGCGGCGCATATTGCCGACTGTCGTAGTATTAATGACTAATATTCTGTCTTAAGGTGAACATTACAAAATATGAGTGCGTTTACTGGCTTTAAATAACCAGCCAGTACTCAGAAATTTCAAAAATTCTCTTGGCGTTCCAAATTTCAAATCGAACCAGCCAATAAAAATACACTTCATATACAGCATGATATTAAAACTCCTTTTTTGAAGTCGGTTTATAATGTCAAGTAGGTAGAACTGTCGTTCAATATGCGCCGTATTTTAGGGTTCATTCGTCAGTGATCATAGCGGTACATTTAGTTCAAGGTTTGCCTCTTCCTCCGCTCCTCGTGCACGGGTTCTGTCTGTTCAGGCTCGCTATGGTCGTTGTTTTCGTTTTGCACTGTGAATTCTGCTAATAAAAAGTTGTATTAGACAACATGATAGGACTAATCTGTTCCAGAGGCAGACGATACTTTTCGTCCATGTAAGACAGCGAATGTTGTGTGAAACAAATGGGCATTAAAGTTGAGAACTGTAATAAAAATTAAAATGATTTTTTGCCAATAATACTTTTGACAGTTATATTCACACGTTCACACAGCTACACATCGAGCTTTACATAACCAGTATAAACTGAACGTTAAATGTGCGGAGAGATGATGCGACGCGACACCAGGATAAACTGGTTTTGTATAGATTGATGTGTGGCAGTGTGTATGTACATGTAAGTAAATAGGAAACGATTTTTTTTTCTGAAAACAAGTATAAATAAAATCAAAATTTTTTACCATCCTCATCACTCTTGAAGGACCTTCCGAGCCGGGGTCCGAACCACATGCCAGGACTGTCAGTGCGCCGCACGGCTGTGGGCTGGAACTCGTGAGAGTCGACACGCGACAGCGACGAGTCGCTGCGACCGACGCGCGGAAACGCGTACAGTTGTCGCTTCTCCATTGTTGATGGCTCGTATTCTAAGAGAGAAAATACGTTTATAACACGACTATGCTCTCTCACCACGCTTCAAATTACGCTGTTCGTGAGTAATTCTATAACAGAACCTGGTGCCCATTATAGGGGCTGATGCTCACCACCGAGGCAAGAATCCCACACTCCCCAAAATCTAGGAGCCTTTAAAAGTTTGCCCCGCGTAATGAAACACCAGTCTACGCTAAAGATTAATTATCAATAATGGAATAACAACCTTAATGCTATCTAGTATTTAGTTTGACACCTTCTGCTAGATAACAGTCCATTAGTAGTTAATTCCGGTTAAATTGTATTGATACTAATGCATCAAGATTCAGAACTGATAATGTCTTGACCTGTTATCTCATAATCTTCGCCCAGTATTGAATGGATTGGTTCATTAGTTGATTACAATTTCACTCACTTAATGATCTAAAATGTTCATCAAGATATGACATCCTGTATCTGAATTGATTTGAGTGGTATAGTACGTTTGATTTGTACTGTCCTGTATAAGTAAATTTGTCTCTATTTCGCCTTCTGCTTACATATATTTGCGTCTCGTTCTCTCACGAGACTGTCTAAGTTGCAGATGGCAATACACTTTGAACAAACTGTAGGTGTTGTTAGTCAATATGCAAAATGAAACTAAACTGTGCTCTATGTCTTTGAATGAGACGCTTGGCATCGAAGAATATCTGGGTTTCGTAGAAATAGCTTAGCGATTTTTTTACTATGTCCTAACCAATAAATACGTAAGTTCTGATTATAGGTTAATTTACACAAATGATAACATTTTATGGAAAGAAAAGGGATATGGTTTCAAAATTTCTCAATGCTTGCAAGTAAGCATACGGTTTGATTCTACATAAAACATGAAATCTGCTTTTGCGGACATTACACATAAACATTTTCATCAGCTGCGGTCGTAGTGGCCCGGAAGTGTGCGGAAGTGGTGCGGGTTCGAAACCTACCATCGGCAAGTACCAATGTGACTTTTTCCGAGTTATATGTCTTTTCTAAGATTATTTAGACACCACTGACAAACGGTGAAGGAAAACATCGTGAGGAAACCTGGACTTATAATTTCTAATTATAAATTTATAATCGCCAACCCGCAATGAGCAAGCGTGGTGATTAATGTTTAAACCTTCTCCGTGTGAGAAGAGGCTTTGCTCAGCAGTGGGCATTTATAGGCTGTTGATAATGATGATGATTTTCATCAGGGTTAGACCTGAGAATTCTTTTGAGTATATTAATCTTTGCCTATAGACGTGTTATAACCTACTTAAATTTAGTTTATAAGTAACCGACATTAGTTCTAGTTAGTACATCAACCAACATACCAAGATAGAGATCGTTGAGAGGTAGCTGCCACGTGTTCCTTGATGCCCGCCCGACTCTAGGGAACGGGTACAAATTCAGCACGCCATCCCGCCGGAGTTTGGCACTGCTGTCTGTGGGGTAAGCACACTTATGCTTGTAAACTAACTTTAGTTCAGCGGTTGGTATTTGGTAGAAGTCTGTTCTCAAGGGTCTGGTGTAAGTGAAGATGTTTCGGTTTGTGGTGTAAGATATAACATGTGTTAATTATTCAGGTTTTGGGTGGTTTCAATTAATTTGAATAAGATTTCTTTCAAGACTTTTATTATAATAGAAAAACAACAGCTATTGCAAATCAAAATGGAGGAACGAAAAAGGAATGACAAAGACAACCAAAACGCCACCTGTGGCCATATCTAGAAACTTAGTTTTATAAAGACACCTATAAATTTACCTCTTTTCAATATTAATACTCTGAAATTATATCTAGGCTGGTGCACAAAACATGTTTGGACTGTTTTGCTATAATATGCAAATGCAATGCATATTAATTGTCAGGTCGTCGCGTTTACATTTAAATGTTTAACAACATTTTGCTGAAAAAGTATGACGAGTTGATATACCTAAACATGATTCTCATTCTCATATAATATAATTTTACAGTGTTTTAGTAGTCCTTTTGCCAAATACGACACCTAATTGCAGACTCCATTAGAATCTTGAATAAAAAAAGAAATCTCCGAGTTCTAGTGACATGATAACAATGCACAAAATGGCGGGATGAACCATAAACCATAGATAAAACAATACACTACAGATTCTATTTTCGAGTGCGCGTCGTAAGAGCTTTGTGCGCAAATTGACTGATGGATTGCCTGCACTCTCAAGAATCCACAAATAGCTGGTTCAATCCCTTGTCATAGATCACAATCACATTTTTTAGACCTCTCTTTGAGATCAATACGCGGAGGTTTGTTATCTTGTGACGTGCATTAGAAAGAAGTATGAATTTTGTTTTTTTTTTTGAACAAATACTACGAAATGTCATAATATCTTGTATTCCGGCTTCCGAAGTTAACCTCGAGTTTAATGTCAATGATTTATTTATTTATTTAAACTTTAATGTACACAGAAACAAGTAATGGTACATAAGGCGGTCATTAATGCCATATGGCATTCTCTCCCCGTCAACCTTAGGGTTAAAATGGAAATCGGCGAAAAAATAGGCATGTGTAATATTAGAAACAAATAACATAAATAGACTATAAATATTACATAAAGTACTAAAAAATATTTAAAATTTACACTACAATATAAATACAACATAAATATATAGGTGTATATATATGCATGCTCATATATATATTAAATAAATGTTTGAATTATTTAAATAAATTGATAGAGCATGGTTTTTGGCCGACGTTTGGCAACCATCTCGCCTGATGGTAAGCGATGATGCGACCTACGATGGAGCACATCGTTCCATAAACAACCTATTTACAGAATATACCAAATATGTTTTACTTATCATTTCTATCACTTGTCCTATCAGAATCTATATCTATACTAATATTATAAAGCTGAAGAGTTTGTATTTTTGTTTGTTTGTTTGTTTGAACGCGCTAATCTCCGAAACTACTGGTCCGATTTGAAAAATTCTGTCTGTGTTAGATAGCCTATTTATCGAGGAAGGCTATAGGCTATAAAACATCACGCTACGATTAATAGGCGCCAAGCAGAGCGAGTGAAACCGCGTAGAAGTTACTAGTATAATATAATTTTACAATGTTTTATATTTTTCTACCAAGTTTAGAATTTGTCATTTAAGGACTTTTTCTGATTTGTTTTTTTTTCTTTTTATAATTATTTGAAATGTATAACGCCTTAGTTTTAATACAATGCTGTAGTATTTTAATTGAAATAAATAAATAAATATTTATGAAGTAGAAGCAATCAAAAGGTTCTGGATTAGGAATTTGAGGATTGTTGATGTAAGAGGGGGGGGGGGGGGTAATTGGGCCTCCAGTAACCTCACTCACACGATGAAACACAACACAACGTTGTTTCACGTCGGTCTTCTGTGAAGCCGTGGTATCACTCCGGTCGAGCCGGCCAATTCGTGCCGAAGCATGGCTTTCTCACACTAATATGTCATAAACGACTCTTCATTGCTTTAACATTCATCTAGATAAAGAATATTCTTTTGTAAAAGTTTCATTCAAAACTAGGACTGCATCCACAATGGATGCAACAAAACTTTAGACAACTGACACTATTGAACTGCTAACTGAGTTTAATCTGTTAATCAGTAGATTTTGTTGAATAGCCAGTTGGATGTTTCTGTTTTAAAATGTTCGTTACAAAACAAAACATATAGACACACCTTTTATTTCCCCAAAAGGTAGAAGTGTAAATAGACAATATAGCACGCAATTTTCACCAGTTATGAGTCTCATTTCGTTGGTTAAATAGAAAAATTACGTAATTCAGAAAGAACAAGTTTTAAAGTACAAACTTCGTTTGAATCGAAATGGCACTTGCGACATCTAGTGAACTTGGCGTGAACTATTAAAAGTGTCGTTTTGACATATGAAATAAATCTGTTAGTTGCCTCGTTTTATGTAATAATGCTATTTTCTATAATAAACCTCAGTAGCAGCACGGAGTCTGGAAAAGTGCCCGGTATATGGCAATAGGCTCACCCAAGTGGGTGTTACATTGTACAGTGGCATTAAGTGCCGTAAAGTGCACCTCTGCCTACCCCTTCGGGGGAAAAAGGCGTAATGTTATGTTACGTTATGTTCTGCTATTTTCTAAAAAAATAGAAGAATGCCATTTTTCAGTTAATCGACAATACAATGGGAACGGGGATTAACTGTATACCTCCAATCACTGATCTAACAAATGAAATATTTTTAAAGCACCGAAAATATTCTAATAATTATTTCGCTGTCCAAGGGATACATCGTAGTGCAACCACTTATCTCAAACGACGAAGAGAAAATAAAAGTACTAATCATGGTTTTTTTTAAAAAAAACGTTGCCCCACATTAGGATTTTCTCCTGTATCGTGGGTGCGTTTACAAACATACAAGTTCACATACACATGACATCCAGACCCGAAACAACAATTTGTGAATCACACAAAGTGTTGTTCCGTGCGGGAATCAAACCCGCGACACGTTGCACGGCAGCCGGTTGCCCCGCCACCGCACCAACCGTGCAGCCAACGTAACACTAACAAAATTTTACTTAAGACTCTTCAAATATTCATAATTTCCAATTTAATTATGATGACACACCTACACACACTATAGAACTATTATATTACTTTAACTTAACAACTCCCAAACTATGTACCAAATAATTTTCTTTGATTATATTAAACTTGTTAAAATTAATTAACCAAATACAGTTTGCAATTAAACAACTGTATGTTGTACAGATTAACAAAATAATTAATAATAATTAATTCGAGTATTATTAGAAACACAGACTGCCTCGTTGGCCGCAATTGCGACTGCCGAGCAAGGGGTCTCAGGTTCGATTCCCGGGACGGGCAAAGTATTACTGGGTTTTTAAAAAATTCTCAGTAGTAGCACGGAGTCTGGAACTGTGCCCGGTATATGGCAATAGGCTCACCCCCTATTACATGGGACTCATAACATAAATAGTGAAAAGTGGGTGTCACATTGTACAGTGGTATAATGTGCACCTCTGCCTACCCCTTTGAGGATAAAAGGCGTGATGTTATGTTATGTTATTAGAAACACATTTATTAAGTCAGAAGTAAAATTATTCAATGATCTTAAAGTTTTTGATTGCTGTCAAACTAAGTTTAGCAGTTTGTGTGAACCAACATAGTTACAATATATTTATTTAATATTTCATTATGTAATAAAACAGTGGCACTTAAAGCGAACTTAGTGTCTTAGGGCATTCTCTACCAGTCAACCTTTGGGTTAAAATAGAAAGCACAAAAATACACTGTAGTTTTAATTTTAAACATAATGTATTTTTAGTGAAAATAGGATCAGTATTCATTTACTTATCAAGACTCAGGGAACACGATGAATACTATATACATAACATCACGCCTTTTATCCGCGAAGGAGTAGACAGAGGTACACATTATACTACTGTACAATGTTACACCCACTTTTACACCTACACTTCACTATTTATGTTACGAGTCCCATGCAATAGGGTATGTATGTATGGTATGTATATAGAGGTATGCATACAATTCTAGACTACGTGCTACTACTGAGAATTTTTTAAAAACATTGTAATACTTTGCCCGACCCGGGAATCGAACCCGAGCCCCCTTCCCCGGCAGTCGCACTTGCAACCACTCGGCCTACGACGCAGTCACTATGAATACCTATTGCTAAAAGCTAAATTTCTGTCTTCATATTTATCTTATTCATTGTTAATGCAAAATCGTTCGATTAAATTTAAAAGGAATCACTTTATAAATAAAAAGAAACATCCTCAACCCACATTCACAAAACCTTTCAACGATGAAATCCTTAAATTTCCTTCGTACCACCTCTTTAAAAATTGTCGGAACAATTTATTGGAACATTAACATTTGAGTTGTTAAAACCTCTCCATCATGTTCCCATCTTAATATTCCCGGCACGCTACCAACATTAACGTTCAGCAATAATCTCTTAAACCGCTTTCGTAATCTTTTGCTTATGTTATGCTGAAGCTGAAGCTGAAACCCACGCGTTGTACCATTTTATTGCAATTATTAACTTGTAAAGGTTGGATTCCCTTGAAATTATTTGTTTGTAAACGCACCCACGATATGGGGGAAAATCCTAGTGTGGGACATAGATTTTTGTTTCAAGAAAAATCTATATCTAAGTTTATGTCGCGGGTTTAATTATCGCATGGAACAACTCTTTGAGTGATCCACAGGTCAAATTAATCAAGTGAATGTGTGTTTGTAAACGCACCCACGATATGGGGGAAAATCCTAGTGTGGGACATAGATTTCTGTTTCAAGAAAAATCTATATCTAAGTTTATGTCGCGAGTTTAATTACCGCATGGAACAACTCTTTGGTGATCCATAGGTCAAATTGATCGAGTGAATGTGTGTGATGTGTACGTGAAATTATATACATATAAACGCACCCACGACATAGAAAAAAATCCAAGTGTGTAGGGTTAAGTTTTCTTTTTCAATAAAAAAACTATATCTAATAAAGCATATACCTACACTCGAAAGGTCACTGTCGAAATAAAAAAGGTCAGCTATTCCCTTAGGATTGGCCGGAATAGAGACTTCCTTAAACAAAGCCGTACAGCACTAATCTGGAGATAAAGTCAGTATTCTTTGGCATTAAGGACTAAATAAGTAAGAGTACTATTCTATAAAAACATATAAATAGTGCCTTATTTACTATTATTGTCATTGATTCTTTGTCGTGGCGGCTCAGCCTGGCAAGTGCCAAGACTGTACTTTTTATTTTCCAAGACTTCACTGATGTACGGTGAAGGTAAACATCGTAAGAAAACATGGAGTTAATTTCAAATAACAAGTTTGAAATCGCCAATCTGCTAAGCGATCAGACGAGATATACCTCTATAACGCTCATTCCTTCTCTGTGTAGTAAGAGGCGTCTTCTCAACAATACAGTTAAACGGTGATTACCATCAATCGTTTCTAGATTGAATCTTAACTTAACCTCTTACATTTAAACTAAAAATCGATTTAGTAAATATAAATAACCTCCTTTTGATTATCTCATACTCGGCGACGGATGAATTCTGAACCTTATGAGACGTATTATTAACGGTTGGTTTCATTTCTACACGATGTGGTTTTAAATAATAGGTCAGTACTAAGGTCTGCCTCGTTGGCCGAGTGGTCACAAGTGCTACTACCGGGCAAGGGGTTTCGGGTTCGATTCCCAGGTCGGGCAAAGTATTACCGTGTTTCTTAAAAAATCTCAGTAGAAGCACGGAGTCTGCAATTGTGCCCGGTATATGGCAATTGGCTCACCCTGTATTACATAGCACTCATAACATAAATAGTGAAAAGTGGGTGTTACATTATACAGTGGCAGTGCCGTAATATGCACTTCTGCCTACTGCCTGCCTTATTTGTGTACGTTGTAGATGTGTGATATTATGGTGTTCTACTCACGGTAAGCACTGGCGAGTGCTGACGCCAGCAGCACCATGGAGACGACGATCCTCATTGTAGGCTGCATAGTTGTGATCTGCTGAACAAACGAGTATCATTAGCAATCGATTTATTATTATTATAATAACTTTACACAGTATCCACATTGTTATAGTTTTTATTCCCCGAAAATGAAGGCAATGGTGTTGAAATCTATTAGATGTTACAATCATTTCTTAACACTGAGTCGTTTGCTTTGAAAACAATTTAAAAATGCTGCATAACGTAAGCTTTTATACGTATTTTGACAATATGAAATATGTCATACGACATACGATTAAAAGTTCATATTTAAATGACAAGTAATTGCTGGGTTGGATCTATGCCGGAGCCGTGTCGATTAAGTGTGCTATGAGCTTGGGGGCACTAAGCAATTGTAAGACAAGCGGCAATAATTTAGAGTTTGCTGTTACTGAAAACTATGATTTAGATATATAACCCGAGAGTCCTATTTAACTTGCAATTACACACGTATTAAAAAAACATGTAATCTAAACGCCTTAACCAAGTCTATAAATAACAAGAATCTTCAACTTAAGTACTTTAAGAAATTCCCGCAGAATCCCATATGAACTCGGAGATTAATCTCAATCTGATCTTAATCACAATACGTTTAAACTTTCAACAGGCTGTAATGTACGGCGGTTTAATCTTAAATCTCTGTTAACATTCTGAGTAAAACAGACGAAGAAAATCTAAGTTTATGAGTGTTGACTTTATAATGAGGTGAGAAGTCTTATTTCGGAGATAGCATCATGATTGTTTTTTGCGAAGTGGTGAGATGATTGCATTTGATAAATAATATCTACATTTTGTCAGGTATGTTATTGGGTATGTATACGTATGTATATAATGCTCAATAGAGCAACATACATCAACAGCTTATAAATGCCCACTGCTGAGCAAAGCCTCTCGGATAAGGTTTGAACTTTAATCATTAATTCCTCAACGTGGGTTGGCGATTTCAAACTTATAATTAAAACTATAAGCCCAGGTTTCCTCACAATGTTTTCCTTGACCGTTTGTCAATGGTATCTGAATAATCTTAGAAAGTACAAATAACTCGGAAAAATCCACATTAGTACTTGCCGTTTGTTGGTTTCGAACCCGCACCCTCATGCATGAGAAGCGGATCACCACGATAATTATTTGGCATTGAGAAGTATGGCGATTAATGCTCAAACCTTCTCCGTGTGAGAAGAGGATTTGCTCAGCAGTGGGCACTTATAATTTCTTACATTGAGACTTTAGATATGGTGCTATAAGCTAGGTACTTGCACAGGTGCTGACGGTGGTCACTGGGGTGGATTTAGCAAGGTAAAAAGTGTAAAAACCCTCCCTCCCTAGTCTTTCTCCTCGAAAAGCTAGGCACGTTTTGAAGGTTTCCCCCATCATAAAAAAGATACTTCTAGGATTTCCAAAAGCTCTAGTCGAAAGAGGAAATTCATGTGATTCTTGCTATGAGTGTGACATATTGTACGAATTTAATTATGACATAACTGTATCTATAATTTTAATTTTGACATACCTACCTACATACAATTTTATTTGACATTTATAAATATTTAACGCTGATAATATGATTATTACTTACAAAAAAATTTGCATGCCATGACAAGTGGTAAACATGTATTAAGTGCAACTGTTCTATTTTTTATCATCCTACATACATGCACCTGCGTGTTTGTGTATGTATACACATGTTTTTGCGAATAAATTTGATTTGATTTGATTTGATTTGATTTCAATGTATGTAGTTGATGCTGAAATTTTGTCAAAATGTACCTAAGTTAAGCTCAGAACTTTCTGTCCCAGTTTGACTTGATTTTTTTTTACCTGCTTTTGACTTGATTTAGCGTTAAAAGGCCAGTTAAATCATCACCATATTACAAATTAATATACATATTAATCAAAAACATGCTTATCTTCAATTAAGGCCAATACTAATTAGGTAAAAAATAAACATTAAACATTCACCTTCCATTAGCCATTGACTAAGGACAAACTAAACATATTAATTGGATTCCTTTAGGAGAGGCTAACAGGCGTAAATAGTTTAAGACTGGAGAGACGTGACGTCACTAAGCTGCGTACCTTTATGACGTCATACCTATGTGAAGTGTTAAGAAAATAGTTGGTCAATGTATTTCTTATTCGTCTGTCAGAGATAAGTTTTACAATAGTGTTTTATTTTGTTTTTTTATTATGTGTGTCTTTACCATTCACGGACCGCAGGGTCCCGGCCATTTAGGAGGCGTACGAGGGGCCGAAGCCAACTGCGCATAGGCCCTTTAGACAACTATAATCTAAATGTAATGGACACACATAATTATTATTATTATAATTAGTTATCTTCCTTCGTTTGGAGAAAAATATCTTATTTTTGATACATGACGTAGTCTTATGCTTGTTGTAAATAAAATAGCATATGAACTGTCAGTTTTTGACACCTAAATTATTATTCTAATAGAAACTTCCGTATAATTATTATGCTGTATCCATGGTGGAACTGCACTAATATAACTTCCGTATTTTTTTAATAATAACATTACCAAAATTAATTTGCCCAAACACTTATCTCACTTAAAAATTCAAATCGATATAATAAGTAATCATAGAAGCTCAAATAAGGTTGTACCTTGTTAAGTATCGTTTAATATGTTCTACTACAACGACACATAAAAAGTAAAGTTTCATGAAAACAGAGAGAACAGAGACATAGTGATTTAAATTACATGAGTTGAAGTTTGAGAATAATTTTACCTTGATTATAAAAACTTGAAATTGTTTGTCTAAGAAAATCCTTCAGGATGTTTGTTTTTTTTATGGGATTAGCCGGTAAACGGGCAGACGAATCAACTGGTGATAAGTAATCGGCGTCGCCCATGGACACCCGAAAAACCAGAGGCGTTACAAGTGCGTTACCGGCCTTTTGGGGATTAGAAATTTGAGAATTGTGGGGGATTCGGGGATTGGGGAAACTGGGAAAGGGGGTAAATGGGCCTCCGGTAACCTCACTTACACGACGAAACACAACGCAAGCGTTGTTTCACGTCTGTTTTCTGTTCTAATGTCTGTGTTCCTAAGAGTTATATCAAAAATTATCGTCGATTTAAAATTCAGATGGTGAGTCTCAAAATTAATATAAGTATCTTTGGTTGATTAGGTTATTACTTATTAGTATAAGAGGTGGTGTCACATTTTGTATTAACCCTTTGAGTACTGTCATTATAGACAATTAAAGAACAATAAGTTGCGGTCACCGGTGTCCTCGCGGTGTTTGACAGCTTAAGCTTGTTTAGGGTAAGTTCACTAGTTCGAGTCCATGTTCCGGAATGACCTTTAAAAATTCCCTATATTAAGAAAGCTGTGACCATATGAGTAGTATTTAGTATAAATCTGTTTGAGCTTTTCACGTTTTAAGTATCTTACATTAAAGACGTGGTGGCCCGGAGGTTTAAGACGCCCGCTTCTCATGCATGAGGGTGCGGTTTTGAAACCTAGGAACAGCAAATACCAATGTAAGTTATTCCGAGTTATATGTAGTTTCTATGATTATCTAGACACCACTGACAAATGGTAAAGTAAAACATCAAGAAGAAACCTGGGGAACAAACATGAGGAAACCTGGGCTTATAATTTCTAATTATTAATTGGAAATCGCTAACCCGCATTGAGCAAGCGTGATGATTAATGCTCAAATCTTCTCCATGTGAGAAGGGATTTACTTAGCAGGGGGCATTTATAGGATGTTAATGAACAATTGATGAATGATTCATGGCGATCCGTAAAATGGACGCAAACTTGCGGGTGGACGCTGTGGTGGACGCCAATAGGTGAACCAACCCTATGCTAATTCTATTTATAGGAAGGAAAATCAAACGTCATTTAAGTTATTGAATTTAGCTTAGCTATAAGTGAAAATTAATATATCCATCGTACCAATTACGTAAATTAAATTAAATGGATGTTTCGAAAGTTTTACTGGTGGCATGCGCAGCATAGGACGTCCACCCGCCACCACAGATGGGGCCTAACAGGGCTGATGCCGATACGGAGCCGCGGAAGACTTAACGGGTTACCGGGGCTCCGGCTCGAAGTGCAGAAGTAGGAACGGGGTGGTTTTTAGTCAGTAAGAGTCTGACACTCCCTCCCGCCTTACCCGGGCGGTAGAAGTCATTGGATGATTTCCCCCAATAAAAAAAAGGACCTCCACCCCCAAGGTGGACAGACGACCTGACTAAGGTCGTAGGGAGCCGCTGTATGTAGGTCAGTTCCAACCGGCCTATCAAGAAGTCATTGGGGGAGGCCTATGTTCAGCGGTGGAATTCCTATGGCTGATATGATGATGAAAGTTTTACTGATTTTAATTTGAGGAAATTCAATGTAAGGAGTTGAGCACAGAACATATAAAGAAGGTTTATATGTTCTGTGGAGTTGACACTCAAATTATATCAAAATGTGTGTCAAACCCAGAATGTTCTGTTCAATTTGTTTACCTTCTTTTGACTTGTTATTAGCATTTAAACGCTAGTTTGGATCACCACCTGGATTTTACATTTTTGTAACAATAATTATTAGGTACTGAAAACTATTATTTACGAAATAGTACCTAATATTGTATATTGCATCTCAAAAATATGTGTTCCAGGTTTACTTATATCATTACATGTGCAATAACGTACACAGTCAGCTACACCTGTGTATGTGTGTGTATGTAGAAGTGAACTCAATTATGCATTAAAACCGAAAACACGTACAAAGCGTATTGCACATTACTACAAGTCGATTTAAAGTTGTAAACGTATGAACATACAGACAGAAAGATATAAGAATAACATTATTTTTCACGTTATTATTGTCTTTCTGTGAACAAACAAACGATGCGATATCGCAGTGATGTCTAAAGATAATCACAAGTTTTTTTTTCAATATATAAACCAATAAACGTTTAGTATTTCAGTATAAAATATCATGAAAGGAGTTGTAACCCTAATGTTTTAATACTTCGATATAAATACATAATAT